GCCTTTATTAGTGAATTCATATTGTTGTAGGCCTTGATGGCCTAATACGAATGTATTAAAACAAATATATCGGTCGTAGCAATCGTATATTTGTTTGAGAGTTCGAACCTTGTCGACTCCTATTGACCCGTATAGGAGGATCGGGTTCGAACTAGAATTCACTTGTCAACCCGCGCAGCATCCCTAGACGTCACGTGTGTACCAATAACACGCTCGCCGGGGCCCATGCGGGTTGAGATTGTACTTTCCCCTTTAGTGTACCTATGTGTATACAATTTATAGTGCACGTGTAGGGGTACTTTGAAATAATTGTAGACGCCTTCTGTCTGCTTGTACGAATGTTGCAGATCCGGTGGCGTGACGTAGCAGCTTCTAAATAGAATCGTTCGTTGCTTCGTACAGGTAGACTGTCGTGCACTATTCGTTGCTTTCTACAGGTGGATCATAGTGCACTTACTAATCTCCTGCCTTTGGTCATAGGAGCTTACACTTATTGTGGTCTTTTGACATTCTGCTTGTATATGACATTTAATACATATGATGGGTCCTCCACGACGGTCTGTATATGGTTGTACTTACTACAATTCATCCATCCTTGTTCGTGGAAAATTATTGCATTTGATCAGCATTGAATTGTTATTGATTGTAGGAGTGTCATTGTTCTTGCATCCTACCCACCTTTCATCAATCTCAGGTGGGGTTTGATGATTGCATTTGTTGTAGATCTTTGATCCTTGCTTGTAGAAGGCTGATGTATTTGACTAATACTGAGTGACTATCAACTGTATAGATGATTTAGCATCTACCGCACATTAATCGTCATCACCCATAAGTAGACCACTATATGAGTAAGAACCCTTCCATATTTGCTTATGGTTAGTATGGTGGACTTGCGTCGTTGATCTTTTCTTGCAATCAATTATATATACCCTTCCAATTTCATTACTTGCAAGATTGAAAATGGTTGTCTATGTTCTGATGTTTGTGGTAGGAGTGTTATTTTGTCATTGCATTCATCCTCTACGAATTTCTTTATCTTGCAAATGACTAGAACATTTTTAGTTAGTGTAAGCCATAGAAGTTCAATGCATTGCTCCATATCTTTCATATTTAAGATTCAAATGATACTAGTTTCCCTTTTTCGCTTTGTGGAGAATCGACTCATTTGATTGGACTTGGATTGTCATCAAACATGGTTGTGTTCCTCACAAATGTACCATCTACTATTACATGTCTCTCATAAGCGTACATTCTGCTCTGGTGGACTCCATTCATCTTGTAAGCATGAATAGTTCACTACACATATTATAAATTCTTTGTTGATCAATGTATTTGCTTGCCAGGTTTGAGCACTTTTGCTTGTATTTTGACATTGCTTGTAAGGAAGATGTATCAGTTATTGCCTCCTACTACATGGTTTGTAGTGCCTGTATTTGTCGCATGTCTTTTGATATTCACAAGAGATTGTCACATGTGTCTGTCAATTAATGATTGCTTGGTGCAGAGGAGATTATTTCCTTCACAACTCTCTTGTTTCATTTGTGAGCATATATGATGGCTAGCATGTCATCATATCCATCACAAGCTTCTAATTGCATGCATCCTCTTATATGACTGTTGTATTGATTGTATCAATTTTATCTTTATTATTCACAAAGCAATGGTTCACATTCATGATTACCCATATCAATTTCATTGCTTGTAAACTTGAATATATTTGACTGCTAGATATGGAGGAGCCATGTTGAGTTATACAAGTCTTTAAGTGTTATATGAGGATGATTTAAATCTTGTATGAGTTTGCTTGACAACTCGTACATTCCGATTGGAGTGATAATTCCTTAATATTCATTGAAAATTTTGAATTTATTAACAATGAAGATGCCACTGTACTCTTCATTCGCTCCTCGTCTGCATGCTACCACTTTTGTTTTCGAAATACATTAGGTCCAAGTTCAACTTAGGTTTCATGCCTTTTGAGTTCAAGCTTATGTATTCCATTTGAATTTGAGTCTGCAAGTCTTCTATTTATCTCAATTGTGAGCTCATATTTAAGTTCATTCAGTCTTCCATAGTTTGATTTGAGTTCAGGTTCTAGTCCACTCAAGTCTTTACTTGAGTTTAAATGTCCAAGTTAAGTTCTTGTTGTCATATCATGCCACTTGCAAGTTCAAGTCCCAAATGTTTGCAAAATTAAGTTCACTTGAATGCTCAAATTGTATGAGTCATGTTCAAGCTTAATGTCCACATGTTTGAGTTCAATGTCCAAAATTTACCTTGTTAATTTCAATTTCATTTATTCAAGTTATTTTGTTCAAATAAGTCCATAAGTCCAAGTTCATTTTTTGTTCAAGTCCTTGGATTTTCAATCCAAATTTCGGCAGCCTCCCGGCGTCTCCCCCGTTAAGGGGAAAAAACCAAGAGGCCGCCTACCCGCCACGCCACCAAAGGCGTGCACGGTTGGTGTTTGTAAGACACCGCGACGGTTGTATTGTTTATTTTTCTCCCACCACGGCCAACAAAGGCGTGCTTGGGGTTTTTATAAAAAGCATTTTGATGAAAAGATAGCAATTTTGACATTTCCCCCCGCTCGGAGGTACTTATGAGCGACCCCGCCTCGCCGTAGGTGCCGCACCGGGGTCCCATCCCACCACGCGCACCAAAGGCGTGCTTGGGGCGGTTTTCCGGTTCGCCACGAACATTGAAACAGAGTTTTGAGTTTAAAAAAAAATTCATAACTAAATATCATTATTTAATTAATTATAATTAAAATAATTTATTTTAATTAATTAGAACTAATTACATATTAATTTTAATTAACTATAATCAAAGATAATTAATCATAATTAAAATAATTAACTATAATTAAACTTAATTAATTATAATTAATTTAAATAAGATATTTAACAGAGAATTAAACTCTCTGTTAACAGAGAGTTTAATTCTCTGTTTTAAGGGTTTTGGCCGAAGAAGCATGCGAAGGGGGGAAGTTACCTTCACTACCAGCAAGCTCCCGTATTTACTTCCAATCAAAATGTCTTAACTTCCCGTTCGACAGGAAGGGAAAGTCGGAGACGGGGCGAAGTTGAGCGGCAGGGAGGAAGATCGGTCAAGGGCAAGGGCGTCGGCTTGCACAGGTAAGGAGGATGATCTCTCCCTTTCTCTCTTTCTCTCTCTCTCTCTCTCTCTCTCTCTCTCTCTCGGCTGAAGGAGATCGGGAGGTTGGATGTCGGGTAGAGGGAGTTCGGTCGGAGCAGAGGTTTCGGAGACTGGGTTGACGTCGAGGGAGAGAAGCTTGCGGGATGTGGAAGTAGAGGTTGGAGAGGGAAATCGGGAGAGTCAAGAGTCGAGGAGCAGCAGCGAACGGGAGGGGAGTCGTGGGTCGAGGAGCAGCAGCGAACGGGAGGGGAGTCGTGGGTCGAGCAGCCGAGATGAAGAGTCTTCGGCTCCTATTTAACGACGCAAAATGAGTACTCCCCGACGGGATTTCTGCAGGAATCACGGAGACAGACGTGATCGGCGCCGAATTTTTACAGTTCCTCGGCGGAATTTCAGCAGGGATTTCGGCAGAAATAGTGGATCCATCGGGTAAGGTTTGATTCTGAGCTTCTCTTCTTTTTTTGTTTCCTTTGGATATAGTATACAGGTTAACATTTACTTCCATCCCCAACATTTTTTAACCTTTTGTCTTATGCTTATGCAAGTAAATCATTGATTAGATTGTGTGTTCTTGCATTATTCAACAGTATGTTCCGACTTTTGCACTTTTGTTGGTATTAGAATGCAATTGATTGATATTAAATTATGAGTTTTGTCTTTGACATATTTAGCATGATTTATTCTTAAAACTAATTAGTTTTTCATGTACTCTTTTTATAGGGAGAGCTGGTAGATATGGATCAAAATTTCCTGTGGGTGAAGTGACATGTTTAGATGCTGAAGATTTACCATTGCTTCATTCATCATTAGAGTCATCTTCTCCTGATTTGAAGGTAACTCTTCGGCCATTGATCTTAATCTCCATTGCAGAACAAAATTAATTGGACTCAACATTGTTTGGTTATCAATAAGCATTTTCGCAAATTTCATTAATTAATGTCCAGGACAGTGATCTTGATTCATTATTTCTACACAAGAAGTCAATCTAATGAAGATATATGTGCTTGCCCAACTTCATTTTAGGAATATGACCAACAATTTAACTTAAAAAAGTCAATAAAAATAAGATTGTTTATTGGCATCATTAGTTATACAACTTTCTTGTATTTCTTTGCTTGATGTCAAACTAAACTATCATAACTTTTTATGAAATTTTGTTTTTAAATATCTCAAAGTGCGTATCAAGGTCAACAGTTTTGACTCTCATTTTTAAGTCTTTCTAATTTAAAAATCTATGGATATCAAAATGACCCTTCTGTGTAGATAGGATTTAAGCTATTCTTTACTGAAAAAATCGTAGCGTTAAATCCTGTATAATGATATGGCTTATTCATTGTTGAAAAATTTGCTTGATCAATAATTTAATATTTCTAGAATCCAACAAGTTATTGTCCAAAATAATCACATCTCTCTCTCTCTCTCATATGTGTATATGTGTGTGTGTTTATATATATATATATATTTATATATATCAATGTTTGATAGAGTTTTCTCTTAGAATGAGAGTATTGTCCTCATCCTTAAATTTGATTTTGTCCATAGCTTTTTTATCTTCCTCGAGCAAATTAGAACATTCTGCTCATTTGTACAACAACAACCAGCATTTATCGCAATACGTGAGGTCAGTTCCATGGATCTTTTCTCTCCATTATGTCCCATCAAGAGTCAAATTCTCATTTAAATCTAATAAAAATGTCATTTTTAATACTTTATAACCAAGTCTTTTTAGATATGCCTCTACTTTTCTTTACATAGGTCATATCTAATACATTTAGTCTCTTAAAAGAGTCATCGGAAGGCTGACGTTTTATGTGACCACCAATTAAGGTGAGACTCTCTAACTTTATCTGCCACTTGGAGCTACTCCAATTTTTTCACATACATATATTGACCAATGGACATGGAGCCACTACCCAAGCCAAATTCCAGAAAACCATGAAGAAAATCTACATACATTGTATATGATGGCTTAGTGGACTTCTCTACCGAATCCCTGAAATCCCTGCGCGATCTCCGCCGAAATCCATGAAATATGCTGAAATGTCGTTGAATCACTGGCCTTTATGATGGTTATGTTGAATGTAAATCTCAACTGAAGGGGTTAATCTCAAATATTTCAAAATGCTCTCAAACTTTCACAAAATTTAAATATCTTCAAGTGACCTCAAAGTCACCTTGATGATGACTGTGTTGAATGCATATCTCATCCAGAGGGGTTAATTCCATATATTTCAAATATCACCCAAATATCCAAAATCCAAAAATTCCAAAAAAAGTCTCAAAACTCCAAGATATTTAAAATTAAGATTAAATCATCAACCTCTTATAGTAAAATCCATCCGTCCTCCGCAACAGTTTGCCGGGGTAGACAAATTAAAATTTACTTCAGCTCACATAGAGCTAAATATCTGGTCGAAAATATCACTAGAATCCATTCTCAAATAATCTCCTGCTAGTAAAGACGTGGTAATATCCTCTAATAAGTGATTTTGCTTCCAAATGGCACGGCAAGATAAACGGTTATGACCCAGGGCCGTTGAACAGAGTGGTTTTGCTGCCAAATGGCACCACAAAATACCGGTTATGGCCAGAGCCAATATGTTTCTTAATGGCATCAAATCCTTTAGATATGAATCAATAGAATATGATTGATAGAGCATAAAGCCCTCTGTTAGCTAAGGTGAATTCAAATTTGTCCCCTTAGATAAAAACTCACCCCAGGTCTACAAGGTCCCCTTAGACGAAACAACTCATCGCTACCAACAAGGATCATTCTGTCAGGTTGGGTCGACTACAGAGCCTTGTATTGGTTACCCATACCCACACCCACCCACATACCCACCCATTCCCAATGGCCATGGGTGGCTATGGGTATGCCCATGACCTCATGGGTGGGTACTCAACATCAGGGGACAAACCGATTTACATTATTAATCACCATATGCATGCAGTATATTACAGTATTCCTTACTACGCAGTGCACAGCACTAAACCACGCCGCACCCATGATAAATTTTGACATGTGGCTTGAAAGTTTGCAGTCAGAGAAAAGGGCAATAAACCTCAAGGACATTAATCCGTGGTATATTGCATTCAAGAAGTGTGGAAAGTGGGTGGGTGTAGGTGAGTATGACATCCCGAAAGTCACCATAGGTGGGCGTGGGTGGGCAAAGCCCGCCAGCACTAAGCGTGGGTACCCAACCAGGACCCCATGTTGGGCTCTGGTCGACTACCTCCTCTGATTAAGTAGACCAGGGACCATGATGGCCCGGGATGACGGAATCATGAGATCTTAATCGGGTCCATCATCCATTCCCCCACCATCATCTTTAAGTGCAAGATGGTGAAATTTCTAATTTTAAATATCAAATCTAAAAAACCTCCAATTTTCAGACTCCTTAACCCATTCTGCTACTAAATGCCAGATAGCACGTATTTTCTACGTATCTGATTAATGACTAGCCTTAATCAAAAGTTCTCTCTCATTATCAGGAGTGCTAATTAACTATAGGGGCTTGCGCCTATAGGAAACCAGAATTCATATCAAAAAGTTCTCGCAAAATGAGGGCAAAATCTCTGGGTAGTGTCTTATCTACAAACCCATATGTCGTCCAAAATTTACCCCGGAACATAAATCCATTAAAGTCCCCCGAAAATAAAAAGCAAAGCGGGCGGAGGCCAGGGCCGAATTTTCGGAGCCCACAATATACAATTTCACATTCTGTCTCTAAATGTAAAGCTAGTCATCCACCCGAGTAGGGGTGTCAATTTCGGGTCACAGGTCGGGTTCGGGTCGAACCCGAATTGATCCGGGTGCAAAACGGGTCGACCTTAACCCGACCAGGGTAGAGAAACCGGTCGAAAATCTGAACCCGGACCCGACCCGGCGGGTTGCCGGGTTGACCCGACCCGACACGGAACCCAGGGGTGAAGCGGGTGCGTGCGGGGTGCGGGACTGCAGGCGAAGCGGGCGAGCGCGCGGGGGCGCGTGCAGGCAAGCGCTCTCGGCGCGGAGTGCGAACGCGGGCGCGGTCGGGCAGGCACCGGCGGGATTCGAATTTTTTGAATTAAACGGGGTTCGCGGTTGACCCGACACCGTCGGGTCAACCCGAACGCTGACCTGGTTTTTTCAAACTGGTCAATTTCTAGGAACCCGAACCGAGCCCATTTGTGAAATCGAGGGTTCGGGTCCAACCCGGATTGTTTCGGGTCGGCAGTCGGGTTGGGTTTTCCGTGTCGTGTCAATATTACACCTACCTACATCACCGCAATCCTCATCTCTGCAAAACTTAATTTTATGCTTCTCTTTTAATGGGCCAACATTCGCTGTCTGTAAAGTTGCAGCGGGTCAGC